AACATCAAATTATGGTTTTAGGGTCACTTCAAACTTACATTAAAAAATTATATATCAGAATCTTATCTAGGTGCTTGAGTCTGGATAGTAACATTCTGGATTTCTCACAAAGGGAATTTGTCTATGAATTGTTGCTTAATTAGTGTTTGTGGAGGCAAACAGGGTCCAGGGCTTCCTACTTTGCCACCTTGCTGACATCATTCCTCAATAGTAAAATTCCGATATTGAAACAAGCCCCAAAACACTCAATTACAGTTCAATAAATAGGTGTTGAAATCAGTACCAACACCTTGCTCTGTGTCTGACATTTTTCTTTGTTTTTCACTCATCTACAATAATCAACTAGCAGCATCAGATTCCTCATCTGAGTTCCCTATCAGAGCAGTTTCAGAAGTTCATTTAAAACATGTGAGAAATCTACCCTCCAAAGAATGCTTGGAATGCAAATTAGCTTGAGGTGTAAAACGTATTTGAAAATTTTTAAAAATATTTCAGCTCTTAGTTTATGTTAAGCAACATTTACATCCTCTTCCACTGCCGTCTCTGTACTACTTTAATAAGTATTACACTCTTTGCTCCATTGTCTTTCAGAATCTCCTCTAGAGATTTAGGAGCTTTGAAGATTCACCTAATCAACACATTTAAGAATTCCTCCTCTTGTATTATGCTAAGTAAAATAAATCAGACAAAGAAAGGTAAATACCATATGGTTTCACTTATATGTGGAATCTAAAAAACAAAATAAATGAACAATCAAAACAGAAACAAACTCATAGATACAGAGAACAAACTCATGATTACAAGGTAGGAGGAGGATTAGGGGGCTGGGCGAAAAAGATGAAAAGATTAAGAAGTACTGACAGTTACAAAATAGTCACAGGGTTGTACAGTACAGCATATGGAACATAGTCAGTAATATTTTAATAAATATGTATGGTGCCAGGTGGGTACTTCTTAAGTTATATAAGAAGGTAGTCACTTCGAACTTATATTAAAAAATGGAGGTGGTCAATTCTTAAGTTATATAAATGTCTGACCACTATACCATATACCTGAAACTAATGTAATAATGAATGTCAACTGTAATTGAAAAGTAAAAATAAATTTGAAAAAAGAATTCTTCCTTCCTTACCTTGAGAAAAATTAAGAGGAAAAGATTTCATCATTCTATCAGAGGAAATATGCCATCCCTGTGGCATCATTTTTCACCAAAATGTGAAATTCTAGTATATGTCTATTTATTTCTGAAAAAGCCTTTTCCAAAAGGAAGCAACGTTCAGTTGGTGTGTATGAGACCACAGGAGCTTTTAAGATTCACTCCATCCACATTTCACTCCCCAAAGTGAATTTTCCTATTGTGAGGGAGGTTGGTATCACAACTCTTACGGTTGAGAAGGCTACAGAGTAGCTAAATGCATTACTAGACATCCACTATATTGGAGAGATTTATAAGGATGATGTTCTAAAGCTAATCGTGGGACATTTACCCTACTTAAAGAAATAAATGTTAATAATTAAGGAAGTGTCTTATGGGCCCCTGGCTTGTGTACAGTATAGAGATCCCATACAAAAAGTCTAAGCTCCAGGAAAGGCTAAAAATTAGTTGGAGCTTCTTCAAATCTAAGGTCTGACCTCTTAAGTAAGGCCTATGAAATGAGTCAGATAAGTATAAACTGAAGAGGAATTTATACATGGCTGGAAAGTAAGAACACCAATGATTTTCTTAAAAAAAAAAAAAAAAAGCATTGTACTAACACTAATATTTTAATGATAAAATATTAAGGAATTTTTAGATTACTCCAAATATAGGAGATCTTTTTTCCCTTAGGAGGAAATGGCTTTTCATTGATGGATTCATTCTGACCAGTTTCATTTACAACACGTGGCAAAATATGTATAAGAAGGCACACTAAATGATCTAACCCAAATTGAACCTGTGATCTTGGTCTCATTAGTAATAGTGACTTTTAATGATACTATAATAATTATTCACCATCTTCCTTAAAAGGTCCAATATCTACTTAATATTTATGTTGCAGGTACCTATTAAACACAAAAAAAGGACTAACGACGCCTTCCTACCCCATGTGGCAGAAAATGTTCAACTTTCTGCTTTTCAAGTTCAAACAGCTCCATCCAGAATCCCGTTCAGACCTGACTGGTAATCATATATCCTTTTCCAAGTTTTACTTCTATCAGCATTTAGATAAATAAAAATAATTCTAAACTCATTAAACCCTTTATCTAATTTTTATTATCAGTACTGTGAAGATAGTGTGAAAGGTCTGAGATGATTATACCTTTAATGTCACAGGTGAAGTAGATTTTGGCCCTAGATTTTAAAACATAGCATTGATTTACAACCTAGGTCTTGCCTCTCTAGTCAACCAGCAGCCCCTCAATCTCGGTCTAGAGTTATTAATTAGGTAGAATAGCCAGAAGAGAGGGCATTGCTGCTAAGCAGTATTAACAAGTGAAAAACTAGAACAGAGATTAATCCAAATAAACATCAAAAAACTTATTCTATTTGTTTCACTTAAGAACATCATCCTCTCTTAACAGTCTTTTTATTCTTCCTACAAATGCCAAAACCTTCTTCAGACTTTTGTAAAGTCCTAATCCAAGTCTTTTTGTTCAGACAAGAAAATCTATCTTGGGCAAAGTAATAAAGCTAGATGAATACAACAGAACTGAGAGTATATTTACTTACGTAAATTTATGTATGATATATGTAGCTTTTCAAATTAAGGAGGTTGAGTCTATTGGAAGTAGATTATGAAATCTACTATGCATTATGAAAATCTACATGCACATGTGCTCAGACATACAAACTTATTTCTGAAACAGAACATAAAAAACAAAAGCCAAGAGGAAGATCGATGTCCTTGATATCAAAACTAAAAATTCAACATGACAAGGTATGGTACCGGTTATCATTTATGATCTCAGCTCCAAATTTATCTTTGTCTAGTGTGAAATAATGATGTAATTATTTCAATGATGAAATAATGTAAATATTTCTTCTTTGCCAAATGGCAAGATGTTAAGCTTTGTCAGTAGAGGATGCTAGAGGGACCCTGGAGGAGGATAAAGGGTGCTCCTGAAGGCAGGCTCCTGCAGTGTGCAGGCTTCTGTAGCACCAGGTTCTTGTAGTGCATGCAGCTTGCTGCAACGCCCGGTTCCAGTGGTGCCTGCAGCTTCATAGTGCAGTGCCGCTGGCATGGCCACTTCCTGTGAAGGGCTTCTCTGCTAGCAGCACTTTGGGTGTTTCATAGCCTCAGTGAACTTCTCCATTACCTAGTGAGCCTTAAGGGGTACACTCTCTCCAATGAGGTCTGGTTGTCAGCCCTGGATGGCAGTGGCTGCTCCCTGTATCTGCTATCCCTGTATCCTTTAAATCTCTTTATTGCTTACCAGCCAATCCTCCCATTACTTCTCTTATCATTAATAATTCTTGATATTAAATTTTTGATCATTGTGTGATTTCTGTTTCCTAATTGGCCCATAACTAATGGAGAACGGATATCAGTACTGGAGTGGTCCTCCGGGACAAACCCACAAAGATGGGATTTGGGGATTTGTTTGTTTGGATCCTTGGTCTCGAAAACAGTGCTGAGTTCCTTACTGATAGGAAATAGGATGCTAGTAACCCTTTGCATGCAGTAACATGACAACCAAGCTACCGCCTATGGTAGATTGTGATGAAGTACCTGCTGAAATGTGTGCCCTACGAGCCTAAATTGCTACTGTATTGACTCTCATGGCAGTAATGACCATAAAGACTGGCGTGGGATGGAGTGTTTTTGGATGTGCTTTGGCACTTACAGAAGAATATGACAAGCTTGGGTCCTTTAATTCTCAGCTCTTATCATGATCTGAGAACCAGTGAGCTTCCACGAAAGCCTTTACAAAATCTCTTATTTCCTGTAGGGATAACACTCCTAAAAATCAAGCACAAATTTTAATTATGCAGAATGCTAAATTACAGTGACAGTTGAATTCACAATCTCGTTTCTCATTGCTATTGAGATGAGCTCTCTCATTTCAATGGCGATGCCATCCCAGGCCAAAGACAAGGTAGGGAAATCTATTACAAAGGGCAGCAGGGATATATCAGTAGACAGGTAGAGATCTGGCACACAGAGATTTTGGGGGGTTGATGAATACATATGGGCAGCCAACTAGAACAGTGTTTGATGTCTAAAACAGAAAATACTCCAGTAGTCAAAACCTGACTTAAGTCAGCACAGTAGAGTCATAACCTCTCTTACCCAGATTCCAGACCTAAGTCAATTCACAGATCAGGGCTCCTTGACTTCAGCAGAGGCTGGATCCCCTTGAGGAAGGATCATACACCACTGCTGCAGGTACATACCATAAATTTTCCTCCAAACTTTTTCCTAAGGGATCTGTAATCATTTTTTTAGTGATTGTTCATCAGAGAAAAAGAAATATCCAGATCATTTGATGATTACTAGGTACGACCTCTAAATTAATTCTAATTCCTAGGGACCCAAAACACCACTGTGGCTCACCAGTCAAAATAAAGGTTTACAGTGAGGAGATAGGAGTCTTAGCTCAGGTCTGAATTATAGTGGACACAGTCGGCCCATGGTTCCACCATATGGTTATTTCCTGTTCCTGAAGGAACAATTGAAATAGACATAATTAGCAAATCAAAGGGTTCCTATATTGGTTCTCTGACCCCTGAGTTGAAGGCTCATTATTGTAGAAAGGGATCATTGGAAGCCCCTGGATCTTCCCCCTATCAAGGAAGTAAACTAGAAGCAATTTTGTATCCCCGGAGAAACTGCAGAGATTAATGCAGGAGCGAGTGTGGTGAAAACTATCATATCACCATTTAACTCACCACTTTGGCCTGTGCAGAAAAAGAGTTGGATCTTGGAAAATGACTAGTGAATATCAGGTCCATACCTTAATCAGGTAGTGAGTCCAATTACAGCTGCTATCCCAAATGCAGTATCTTTACTGGAATAAATGAATGTCTCTAGTACTTGTTTTGCAAATATGCTTTCTGCTCCAATATCAAATTGCAAGGACCACGAGAAGTAGTTTTTTTTTTTTTTTTTTTTTTTTTTTTTTTTTTTTTTTTTTTTTTTTTTTTTTTTTTTTTTTTTTTTTTTAAACCTGACGAGACCACAGTGTACCTTCAAAGTCTTGCCTTAAAACTTTGTCAATTCTCCCGCTCTGTCATGATATGTAATTCAGGGGCCTTGATCATCAAGATATTCCATAAAACATCACATTGGTCCACTATGCTGATAGCATGGTGACTGGATATCGTAGGAAGTACTTAGGTGCCCTAGTAAGAACAGGAACTTCCCCTTGCCAAGGCTGACATGCATTACTGATAAGTGCCTATCTGTCAAGAACCAGGACTCATACTGAGGCTGCAATATGGTACCATTCTCACAGGTAACAGCCATACAGCTGGTGACAGTTTCATTACATCAGACCTCTTCCATCACAGCGGGGGTAGAAATTCATCTTCACTAGAACAGATGCACATTTTGGATATGGATTGTCTTTTTGTCCATAATACTTCTGTCAGCACCACTATCTGATCTATATACACAGAATGCCTTATCCATCATCATGGTATTTCCTGTAGCATTCCTCCTAATCAAGGAATCAATTTCACACAGTAAAGGAAATGCTACAATGAGCTCATGCCCATAAAATTAATATACCCAACAACCAGAAAGGGCTAGTCTAACTGAAAGGAGGAATAGTTCACTGAATATTCAATTACAACAGTTAGGAGTCACCATCTTGAAAGGATGTAGTTCTTACAGTAGGTGGCATATGCTTTGAGCCAGAGTATATATGAGTTGAGTGATCAAGGGGTTGAAATGAGAGTGGCTCCTCTCAGGATTGTACTTATCATCCCAGCAACCGCAAGCTGTGCTGGTTTGGAGGTCTTATTTCCTAATGATGCTTCTACCATGGGTCTACTGATATAAGATCTAAGATGAGACTGCCATCTGGCCATTGTGGGATTCTTATGCCACTAAACCAAAAGGTATTACCCTACTGGCTGGAATGATCGATCCTGATTGATCCTGACTACCAAGGGTGAGCTCGTATTACTGGTACACAGTAGAGGCAAGGACTTTATCTGGAACACAGGGGATTCTCCAGGTGCCCATGTTCTTCCATACCCAATAGTAAAGATTAGTAAGAAACTACAGCAAACAGGACAACTGAACTCAGACCTTTTGGTAATGGACATTTAGGTCACTCCATCAGGTGAAGAACCCTAATCAGTTGAGGTTCTGACCAAGGGCAAAAGAAATATTGACTCAGTAGTGGAAATTCATAAATTTATAGAAACAAGGGCTTTGAGCTTTGAATTCATGTTGTTGCCTGCTCCACCCATTACAGTGAAAACGGAGCTGTACCATATAGTTCTTTGCTAGGTGGTATGTTTTGTCAACAGGGGTTACTGGATGGATTTCTTTTTCTGGTTCTGGGCAAATTCCCATATTGCCTAGCTCTGGCAGTGCACATAACTTAGCAGTTGAGTATCACTGGTGTGGCACCTCCTACATATGGTTTATCCTGTACCTTCTTGGATGACTTCACAGATTGTACCTCCCCATGGATAGCTTCCCCGGCACCATCTGAGATGGATTTACATCTACTACAAACTTCAACCAGAGGGCCAAGGTTGTATCCTCTCTAAAGATTTCCGGAACTCAGCTTAAGGGAGGACAGATAGTGGCCACTTCTTCTATTTGTTATACCTGTATTCTTCAGTCCTTTACTGCTTTGCAAATTTTTATTTACAGATAATATGCCCTGTAACTCCAATCCATTCTTATAGTTAATACTTTATGTCAAATGTTCCTGTTCATACAGACACCATAATCAAAGACAAAGGCTGAAGAAAATATTGGTTAAAGAAAATCCATTGACCATGAATTAGCATTCAAATAATTTAGAACTAAAAAAAATACCCCACTAATTAAGACAATAGAAAAACAGATAATTCAGTGAGGGGACAAATTAATGTTAGTAACCAAGTAATAATATTCAGTGGTAAGGATACAGAAAAAACTTTTGACACCTTGCTGGTGGGAATTAAGGCAATCTCGGTGTGTTAAAATTTTCCAAGTGGAAACTCTGACGCAGCTTTCCAATTCTGTTTACTCTAGAGAAATATTCATACATAAACTAGGTGGCAGGTACAAAGATATTCTAAGCAAAATTGTTAATAAAAACTAAGAATTGCAACAACCTAACCAGTATAGGTACATAAACTTAACTTGGAATGATTTCCAAATAGTTAAGTGAAAAAAAGTTGAAGGATGTCAAAATAAAAAAACACATGATATATTTTCTCAGGGTACATACTGTTATGTGTATATGCTGGGGGGTGGGGAGGGAGGGTTTAAAAACCAAACCAATTCCAGTAAGTACCTCTGAAAAGTGGAGAAGGGCAAGCAAGGCAAAGGGACTGGGGATAGTCAAAGCAGACTTATACCTTATCTCTAATAGTTTAAGGGTGGTGGAGTTGGGGGTCAAGAATATGTATCCATGTATAATTTGAACAATTAAGAATTAAGACTTTAAAATCCCCATCTTGAACTGCCAAGATTAAATGAGACTAAATTAAGTTACGATGAAACTGAAAAACTGGACGAAATACATGAAACAGTTTTTAGAATATTGGTCTTTAGGCAAAGGATAGTGATCCTTGAAAGGCAGGAAACTATTGACCTAGCTTACTGTGTTGACCTTCTAAGCCATGAGGCAGGGAAGGGACACCAGGCAGAGCCTACTGGACTTCCTGCTAAAGAGAGATAAAGGCAGCTAGATTTTCCAGGGCAGAGGACGAGGACGGAGAGTCAGAGAAAGAGGAACTTCAGAGACCTGCAGAGGGTGCCCCTCCAATATTCAGCAATGTATTATTGTTCAGCACATGCACGTGAGGCAAACTACCCAATGATGGGGAGAGGTTTAGAAGAAACAGTATTTGGAGCCCACACAAAGCTAGGAATAGACCTGCTTTCACTAGACCAGACTAGAAAGCTTCATATTCCATGGGGCCCTGAATACTAAAGGTCTTGCCTTAGAACTGGGGCAACAATTAGCCCTAGAACAAATGCTGCTCTGCTCTCACCTAACAAAGTTTAAAAGTCCTGAAAAGATCAAACTGTTTTCAAATAACTTATGTCCCAGAACAAAAATAACCAGCACCCAACAGGTTAAAATTTAATTTGGCACATGATAAAAAATTACCAAGCATGCAAAGAAATAGGAAAATGACCCATAATTAGCCGGAAAAAAATCAACAAACTGACCCAGATGTTAGAATTAGCAGACACAGGCATTAAAATTATATTTAAAAACTAAAGAAAAGACTGAATATGTAGAGACATGAAAGATATAAAAACACCCAAAATAAATTTCTAGAAATAAAAAACACATCGGATAACATTAACAGATTAGCCAAAGCATCAGTGAACTCAAAGACAATAATAATAACAAAAACAGAAAAAGATTTTTAAAAACCTAAACAGTGTATGGGTCAATTTCTAGCAGCCTCCGTATAGAGTTCCCAACAGAAAGAAGAGGCCAGAAAAAAAAATTTTTGAATAAAGGTTGAAAATTTTCCAAATTTGATGAAAACCACAGACCCAAGAAACTCAACCAAACCTATGCACAGAAACAAAGAAAGCAACAGCACATCATAATCAAATTGCTCAAAACCAGCGATAATGCAAAAAATCTTAAAAGGCAATGGGAGAAAAATGTGCAAAGGAACAAATGACAAAGATGAAAGATTTCTCATAGAACACGATGTGAGAAGACTGTGGACCAACATCATTAAAGTGCTGAGAGCAAAAAACATCAACCTAGAATTCTACATCCAATGAAAACCTTTCAAAAATAAAGGCAGACACACAAAAAGAATTCACTGATACCTGTACCATCATAACTAGAAATGTTAAAGGTTAAAGGACATTCTTTAGGCAGAAGGTAAATACCAGTAGCAAAGTAAAGGAGAGCACAACAAATGCTAATTACATGTGTTAAGTATACAGACTTTTTATCATCTACAAAAACTATTCTGAACTTCATTATCATCAAAACAATTTGTCTCTAGCAACATATTAGGGAGTCTTCAAGCTTGGCACAGAGTTTTATATTTACCAAACTTGACTATATATATAAAGCTAACATGAAACCAAAAGGTAATTTCTACAGCAAAATTATTAAGTCCACTCTTCTGGGTTTTAAATCTTATAAAGGAGTATTCTCTCTTCTTAGTCCAACTTCTGTGATCTAATATAGAATATAATCTTGGCCAAAACATGGACCAAGGTTTCACATACCAATATGTGGCTTAGTACTAGCTATTTATATCAAGTACTCTAAACAGAAGCCCAATTTTACTTTACATGCAATCTGAACTAAAAAAGCAATTAACGAATAAGCTTTCAGATTTATAACAAATGTAGTCTCATGAATTTGTTACTTGGTAGAACATAAGTGAGTGATTTCTACTTATTTGTGGAAGATCAACTTGCATGTCACTCGCACAGACATACAAAGCCCTCCCTCCAACTATCATTATTCAAAGGCTCTGTTCTCCACTGATGAATACTATCTACTGGTTTTGGAGAGCAATAAAAATTGGGTAGACAACCTATCCACAGACTGATAAGGTAAATTCACTAGCATTAAGTGAATAATCAAGAAGCAAAAACAAAAACACACTTTGCTTAATAAAGAAGAGCAGATTAATTCAATAAACATGTAGATTTATTTTAAATCAGTTTGATACACGATACAGATTGGTTTTGCAGTTTTTAATGAACTGAAAAAGAAATTTCTAAATACAGCAGTGTCTGCCTGTGCAATATCTTAAGGTAAAATACGGTATTTTGATAGAACTGCATCTGCATGAACAAATCAGATGAAAAATCTGAAAAGGTTTCTATATACCTTCTGGATTAAAAAAACCCAAAAATTATTAATGGCTCCAGATACTAAATTGCTAAAGAAGGCAGGCAAAGGGGAGGCTGTGAGTTCCGTTGTAAGAGCTCTTCTTGCAAAATCTAATGAATTTCATATATTATGATTTTGTTGTTAGAAGCAGTATTCAAAATTACAGAAGATGTGAGGCTTCACCAGCTACATTTCCATGAAAATTGCTATATGTGTTGACATTAATGTGTGACACAGTATCTAGATAAATGTCAATTATGCCATTGTAGCTAATTTTTGCCACTTTGAGAGGAATGGAAATTCTGCATACTTTCAAATGAATCTTGTATCTTACAGCACTCACTAAAAACTAACAGCCATGGCACCATAATAAAATTTTTTGTGAGGTACCTAGAATATTACTACTAATGAAAACACAAAAATGTGAGGTAAACCTACCTTTTCCCCAAAACTTGTGAAGCTAGAGATTTTAAACAATTAAGGCACTTGAAAATATTAGGTGTATGTACAAATGTGCAAGTAAAATAAACTTTAGCTGTACCAGCAAGCAACAAAAAAACAGTAAATCTTCAAGAACCTTTAATTATCTTAATGAAAGGAATTTTGGCTTATGAAATGGACCTAAGCAACTTGTTATTTCTTACTATAAAATATTGAAAACCAAGGACTAAACTCAGCCACTATAGGCTAAAGAAACTAAAACAAACAAAAAACTTTAATGACCTAGGAAAGCAAAAAGCTCATGTTAAACTAATTTAAGCCTCTGAACTAATCCAATGCATCAAAGGCAGGGAGAAGTATCCCTCTAAAACCAAAAAAACTAATGCTTTCTAAGAAAATTAAACAAATAAAAGTATGCATGCTTATTATACTACGGGAATTGAAACTAAGAAGGAGAGAAGAAAGAGCACAATCTGTTTATCCAGGTCAAATAATCATCATTAAAAATCTACAGTAATATCATCAACCAAAAATCCTCAGATTCTCTGAAATTACACTGGTCACATTTGCTGTCTCAAAATCTAAAATGATTGTCTCATTTAAAGAGTAAATGATTCTAAAAAAACTTATTTCCTTCCTGCCTCATGAAAATTACTTTTCAAGAAAGCCTGGTGGAAACCCTTTAGAGGTACAACAGAGTTAGGATACTTTTTTGAAGTATAGAGGAAAAATAATTAAATCAATTTTATCTCTGTATTTTTTCATAGCCATAAGAAAAATGTTGGTAAGTTCAATATATGAAGGCTTTCAACTTTGTATAACATCCTTTAGCTTAAGTTACTCAGGTCTGAAATAAAGTAGGTTAAGTTTTCAATTAAATATTAACAGCATGGTATCTAAAAGCAGGTTTACTACTGCTCACATCAACAGTTACATCCTCAGACCAATCTTTTACCTTCTTTAATGTGAAACGACAAATCACAAACATTTTAAGTTACAGTCTACCTTTGAGCCTGTCTTTTAAGGCACTGTTCTTTATTTTCTCAATGATATAAGGTGCTTTACAAGTATTAACAATAACTTGCTATACTTTAATGGTTTGTATCCTTTCCATTCATTTCTTTAAATCTGGAATGTAATTCCCTCGGTGGCATCTTATTTCTAATGTAGAAAAAATTACTGTTACCAAGCACAAAATTTTACTCTAAGGATACAGTTTACTCTAAATATACTAAATTTATAAATTTATTCCACTTTTGAAACGATAGCCAAAACTCTACCTGATTGATGCTCATTTGGCACATTCTTCTCAATTCTGGTCACTAAACTACATCCTGAGTTAGGATGAAAATGCAGCTTTCAGGCTTTACAATGACTAAATTCAAAATGCCAAAAGAGTCATGAGGTTGTCTGCACAGGACAATGTTTTCCATCACTTACAGAGTTACATTTGGCATGTCAAGAAATGAGAACATAATCCCAGAGCAGCAGCCATTAAAAATAAAAGAAGACAGCCACAAGGATTCATGCAGAATATTTTAAATACTCCTGTTGAGCAAAATGATTAACTGATTTTTCTTCAAGGATGATGCTCCAAAATATCCTATATGTATCCTTTGAAAATTTAAAGATCCTGGAATAGCGTCTTCCATGTGGGGTATCTTGTAAGATGATATTTTGGTTTCAGTGAGTTATACGCCAGTCCTTGTTAATTTAATGGGTCTGTTTACAGAGTGTGGTAGTTTCGTTCTTTTGATTTGCAGAATTTATAGAGAAAGAAAATTACAGCCTGCACACCCAAGACAAGGACAATTCCTCCAATGAAACTGGCTGCATCGAAGGTAGACTTTCGCATAGGTTGTGACGTTGGAGTTAAAGTGGTATTAGTTGTACCTGTTAAGTTAGAAGAAATACCAGTAAGTCTCATGATCCCCCATCATAATTTCAAGACACACCTGAGCTTCTATTTTGCCATGTTACATTCTATAAAGTATTTCCTCTTGACTCAAGTCTTTACAGCTAAAATTTATCCCTAATTGAGAAAGACAATTATTTATCAATCCCATTCTTTATTCCATCCAGTGATATCAAGTGGTCAATGCTGCTATACAACTTCAGATACGAAAATAACAGAAAAAGACTCTCCTGGTATATAAATTGTGCCCTAGGAACATGTGAAGCACTTTTAAAATTTGCAATTACTTCAGACTACATATTTTCATTTAATTGCTAGAATAAACAATATTTGTGTTGAAAATTCATACTTTTGAATTTTACTAAATATATAAGGCAAATTTGGTTGCAATTTTTCAAATTACAAAGATAATCCTAAGTATCTGCAATTTATAATTCCAACAAGCAAAAGAACTTGTTATTAAAGGTATTTTAATCTTACTCTGCAGATTTTACATTATGAGGCAAAAAAAGCACAAAAATTTAAATTCCTTTTCCAGGAGTAAAACATTTCAAGTGGAGCACCATCCACTTCATTAAAAAGCAACTGCATATTTAAAATAAATTTTACTTTTTTCTTAAATAAACTATCAAATTAACACTGGTTCTGGTGACTGTATATAATAAGTTGGCCAGCTTTAAAATTAGTTACAACTGTTATGTACTTCTTGTGAAGACAGAATGGCTTTACTGAAACTGAGAAAAGTAGCACAAGAATGAAGCCAAAAGCATCAAAATTATAAGATTCATCAGAATCAAAGCAACAGTATTTTAAATATGGATAGAGAGAAGGGCTCCTACCTGTGTACCCACTGTATTTTTAAATGTATTTTAACATTAAGCAGTCATAAAAACATCCTGAGGAATAACATATATTAACATGTAATAGAAAGTTAATTTTCACATGCGCTTTCAAGAGTTATAAAGGAATTTAAGAAATGGTAAGAAATATAGCTGAGGTGCACATTTGGTAGTGATCTTGGCTTTTTAGATATTTCTCAGTAAAAAGGATGGCTATATTATCTTCACTCAAATCACCATGGTCTAATACAGCACAAAATCAATCGCTAACAGTAATCAGTACTTAATTTTTAAGTTATAAGAAATTAGATTTCACCTACAAGTTGTACTAAAAGGGTTTTGGAAGAATGTTATCATTTAATTCTAACGTACCATGCCAAATGTGATTACACATTAAAAAACTAAAAGAGGACTCTCAGCAAACCTACCATTATTGCTCTAATAGCCTAATATCTTGGTCCTCTTAATATTTCAGTTCATAACCATTCCTGAATAAAACTGGAAAACGATGACAGAAATAGCAGACAATGGGATACACACATCCTGTCTCACTGTTAAGTTAGAAAATCTCAATTACCTGGTGCAGTAGTTGTAGAAGGGGAAGGTATAGTTGTGGTTTTAGCTGGAATGTAAACGAAATGCATTAAAAATTTTAATTTCTAAACTTCCCAATTATCTAGTATCTATCTTTTTAAAATAATGCTACCAATTTCAACATGCTTTCAATTTTTTAGAGAATAAAGGCCAAACTTCAGTTACTGGTTCACTAACACATCTACACGTCCACAATACTAGCTTTTAAAAATGTATTTTAAAACGTTAAGCAGTCATGACATTATATCTATGTTAACATCTATGTGTAAAATCTATGTATACATCTGCATAAAGTTTGTAAAGACACACAGAAGGGCATGAATTAGTGTTTAGGTGAGGGAACAACAGGTTCTTTATAATACTGCTTCTAAGACAAAACTTAAAAAGTCAAGGTAAGAAACAAGTGCAACTCAGTTATTTTCTTATGTAGGTAGCAAAATTTGCTTATCTTCATTATTTCAGGGGATTGGCAAAACTTTTCTCAAAGGAGTAGAAAGTAAATATTTTAGGTTTTGTACACTGTGCAGTGCAAAAGCAGCCAAAGACAACATGCAAATGAATGGGCATGGTTGGTTTCAATAAAATTTTGTAAGAACAGGTGTCCTGGGGCCATAGTTCCCCCAATTTAGATTAGAAGAGCCCAAGGATAAGTTCTAGTCTACTTTCCTACATGAGCTCAATTATCTAATGATGCCTTTAACGAAATGTGTACTCATGGGAAGGTTAGAGTGAATGCAACATTTTAGGAACAAAAGCACTATATTGAGACTTGTTATATTGACACTACAGATGGATATGTTATGATATGTTAATAACACTGAAGGATATTTTCATATGTTTGTATCCTTTTCTTTCTCACTGCTGTACACATTTAACCCATCCCATTCTTGGCTGTACAGTTAGGTCACCTCTCATTTCTCCGTGCTATGAACATCTTACAGAGAAATATCTCATCTCATCAGTCTGATAGAACTGATTCCTATACATAATTCCCAGATTAGAGGGTATGATTATTTTAAGACTTATAATCCTTTTGAAGTTTTTGTTGCTTAGACATGCGTAACCACAAAAAAGTTTGTAAATTAAATATATACCAAATTCTTTTTCAATCTTACAACACTATTAGTAATATTGTCTGACAATGTTAAGGGAAGAAATTAGCAAATGCTATTTGATCCTCATTACCCACCCTCTGAACATGGTAACTAATTCTTTTTTCTAAATAGGCAAAACATGTACACACTTTTACTTTTCACCAAAGTATTTTACGTTAACAATTTTTCAAAATTGAGCACTACTTAGAAAATGTACCTCCATGGACCTACTGTACGTTCCTTTCATTTAAAAAAAATTCATAAACTGTAAAAGCTGCTATTAGTGATAGAAAATTTAGAAAATACAGTAAAGACATTTAAGTAATCCTATCACTCTGAGTAACATGTTTCTTCCTGCCAGCCATTTTTCTAGGTATGTATACAACAAAAAATATTGTACCAGAACTACTTAATACTATTTTCTACTATATCATGGACATTTTCCACTTGTTTGACATAAGGTAGTCATTCTATTTTAAGATACTTATAAATATTAAAATCTATGTTTATAATATATTATTTGTACTGGTAGAAGACTTATAATTAACCCCATTGAACACTTTTCTACATAGAAGAGATTTTCTTTGTTCTGTTTCTTTAACAGTCCCTTAATTTCTCAATTACTCTCTTTAGCAGTAGCCATGGAAAGAAACCATATAAAGGTTTTTCAACCATAACTGCCACTCGACTGATGCATTTTCAGCAAGCAAGCAAGCAAGCCTCGGCTTTCTTCCACTTTAATGAACCAAAGAGAGAGAAAACAAAAAAGAGACTCATGGTAGTTCACAGGAAAACAAAAGTGAGGACCAAGCAGGACAAATACGTCAAGACTCATGGGGAAGAAATTAAAAGTGGACCCGTAATGGTTTTGGGAAGATCATTTCCCTCTCTATTCCTTTCTGTTCACATAACACCTTCTGGAAATTCATTTTCTCTCAACATCTCTACTTTCATCTACTTTAATACCCTCCTACTAATCAATGACTTCTAATGGGTGCTAAAGATTTATGAACACACCACTGTGTGCTCTCCAAAGTAAGTTTTGTAGCATTTACAGATTTCCATGGCATAAATATTTCCACTACAGCCTTAATTCAAACTACCAACATGGTATCACTGAACATGCACTTGGAAACAGCTATGTACAACTGGCTAGCAAAAGCTGGTACAAGCTAGCTCACTACTGCCGAAGTCTTTCAAAATGAGTTGTCCTTGTTACAGCACTTCCTCTTAAAAACTACGCCGAAAACACATATGCACAGTTTCTCAGACAACACTTCTCTGGGCTTTCTTACTTCTCTGCCCATCCCTACTCAGTTTCCTCTCCAGTCCTCTTCCTACCCCTTAGACATTATTGTTCCCAAGGGTCCTCAGGCCCTATACTTCTCTCTAAAAGCTGCTCCAGTGGACTGTACTACTGCCTACAATGATTAACCTATCTGTACTTTTATTTATTTTTTAACTTATTTATTTAGGCGAGGCAACGCTTGGTTGACCTCACAAATTGCAAGGACCTTATCAGCTTCCAATCCCTTATTTTTTATTTTTTACGCCTACGGCACCTCGTCTTCCTATAGGTGATCTCCAAGTACTAACCAGGTCTGACCCTGCTTAGCTTCCAAGATCAGATGGAATCGGGCTTGTTCAGGATGGCATGGTCATAGACAACCTATCTGTACTTTTAGCTAAGAGCTCTCCCATCACCTCAATCATGAAGTCCTATGCCTTCTATTTCTTATGTCTATTTGCATATATCTGCAATTTTTCCCCTATCAGTCATCTAGTATCACTGTTACAGGTTATCTAACCTCCCTGTATTCACTTGTCTCCTTCCAAACTCCTCTCCACATCATCAGAATAAGTCATTTTATTAACATGCAAGTCTCATCACATGACCTACATACTTCAATCCAACAGAGCAAGGCATACACAAAGGGACTTTCTAATCTAGCTCTTGATTTGTTGATTGGCCAGCTTCATTCTTCCTCACATTGTACTGGACACATCAAATCCAATTCCTTGACCTCATTATACCCTTCACAAGTGTTGACCACCCTGCTCCACTTGGGAAACTCTTGTCATATCTTACCAGGGTAATTTCAAGACTCAGTCAACATCTTCAGAGAGTTGTCACCACATATGCCACGCTACTCAATACACACACCTTCCTACAAATCCTGTAACATACTAAGCTTACTTACCTCTTTCGAAGTTACCAATAGGCAAAACGCTGTCTTACTTCTGTCTCTATATCCCTATTATCTGGCCTAGTACTTGTACTGGAATAAATTTTTTTTTTTTAATTATTTACTCCCCTTATCAAATTGGTAAAGACTGTTAAAAGGAGGTATTATCTAATGCTATTGAAAGTATGGTGAAAAACTTTCAACTTGTTGATAGGAATGAAAAGAAATCAGTATTCAGAGTCTTAAAATAATCATATCCTCTGACTTAGGAATAATGCTGTTTGAATCAATCCTATCAGAAATGACAGAAAATATTTCCCTATAAGATGTTCTAACCTAACTATTCAATCAAGAGCACAATACATAGTGTGTACAATAATTCTTGCAGTAAAAGGGAAAACAATTCAAACGTGCAGGTACATATTGTCCAATATCATGTTTATTTATTTAAATATATATATATATAAAAGACTAGAAAAACAATTGTTTAAAACATTTTGGTGTACTTCTGGATGATGGGAATTATAGGGAATTTTAATTTTTTTTAGGCTTTTATGTTTCTTGAGGTTTCCACAAAATCCACGAAAAGCAGTTTTCAAACTCAATGTACAAAGCTACAGCAAATCTGCTCAAATTCAATGAATACAAAACACCAAAGCTCTGTGTCACTGTCACAAATAGTACACATAAAGTAATTACTGTGGCCCAAGACTAAATATGCCTACTAATTTTTAAAATTATACTAACAACTTTTAGATATTTGATTACTAAAATATAACTTTAAGCTTATCGAGAGAGTTTAAAATTCCTAAAAGGAGGAAGAGGAGGAAAAGTCAATTATTTTGTATTACCTGTAGAATTGGTTGGCAATGGAGTGGCAGTGGGCACTATTTAAAAAACAAACACACATATTAAGTCAAAGATGTCTAAAATATCACAATCTATAACACTATTTCCTACACGTTATTCCTACCGGCAGTCATTTGAGTGCCACTTAACAATTTTTACATTTTAGTACCACCTGTGAAGGAAACTGACAATTGCTCTGACCCAATATTGGTCTATCCTTCTCGACAAATAGAAGCACCAATTTTCAATGACACATTCCTCATCCCAGCAGAACATTTCTTGGCCTCTCCTGGCAGATAGGTAGCCATGTGTAACTTCTAAGCATATATAAGGTAGATACGGGCCTCTTTC